GTACTCGTACGTATAAACACAATTATTGTACGCTATACACACACTCACGCACACACACACACACACATATATATATATATATATATATATATATATATATATATATATATATATATATATATATATATATATATATATGGATAGATAGATGAATAGATATGGATATATACACATATATATGTATATATGCATATATATATCTATATATATATGCATATATATATATATATATATATATATATATATATATATATATATATATATATATATATATATATAAACACACGCAAACACACACACACACACACACACACACACACACACACATATATATATATATATATATATATATATATATATATATATACATATATGTGTGTGTGTGTGTGTGTGTGTGTGTGTGTGTGTGTGTGTGTGTGTATAGATATATAGATATGCATATATACATATATATGCCTCTACAAATCTTTAACAAAGCCAAAGGTACAAGTATAAACTCCGCATCATTCACAAGGCGCAAACCACCAACGCTCCAAAATCCACTTTGAATATATATAAGTCTATCAATATTTACGAGAGAATTAATTTTCTAGCTTACCCATCTCAATCACAGGGTGCACTAGCAATGACTAATTTAATTTGACACTAGATTTTTATGCGCTTTCGAATCAACCACCAAAATCTAATCAAATGGTCCTTATAGTATGAGCAACCCGCCCACACATTAAAATCATGATCTACCAGTAACTTCTGACATAATCTTGCTGACTGTAAACTAATTAGTAAATAGTGACAATGGCGGAATCTAAACATCGACGGATTCCTTGGAAGCAATTTATGACTAATGATAAGAAGTTATTTCAATCTAAAATGGCGCTTTGTCATCCGTTGCGTAACAGACGGCTCATTAACAAAGTGACGAGAAGACATTTGGTATTCAAAGCATCACGTAATTTGTTTTTTGGCAGCCAAGGGAGCTCGGGTTTGGTAAATGTTACATATTTAGTTCTAATATCCCCAAACAATAAACTTCATTTAATGTTTGTTTTTCGACGAATAATTCTTATATCAGTGATAATGATAGTATTGGTAATAATGATAATTATAATAATAATGACTGTGTTAACAATAGTAACGATAACAATAATGATAATGATAATAATAATAATAAGAAGAATTACAATAGCAATAATGATGATGATGATAAGAAGAATAAGAATAACAATAACAATAAAGATGATAGCAACAATATTAATAAGAGTGATGGTGATAATGTTGATAATTATGACAATGATAATAATAATGCTAATAAAAAGTCATGTTTAAAAAAATGGATAAGGAATCAAGGGAAATGGGACAATGTTGCCAACTTCAAGCAGTGTACCGCGATCTGGCATGACTTAGCGCAGCACGGATTGCTACATCTATATCCATATATCGATAGGATTATAGATGGATGTAGTTATATATATGTATATATATATATGTATATATATATATATATATATATATATATATATATATATATATATATATATATGTATATATATATATATATATATATATATATATATATATATATATATATATATATATATATATATATATTTACACATATGCGCCCGTGCGGGTACGTATTAATTTGTAATCATATGCTCGTATACACAGCGTAAAATCCCTCACATTATGTGGCCGCCATGTTTCGGTTGCCTCGGGTCAGGAATCCGTGCTGCCGTTAAGCCATGCTAGAACGCGGTGCATATACACACACACGTGCGTGTGTGTGTAGAGAGAAAGACAGAGAGAGAGAGAAATGAAAGAGACAAGAATACGCATTGTAAATAACAGGCCAACAAATATCGAACTCGATGGGAAACATATCTAAACGTTAAAAGAAGAAGGAAAAAAAAGGAAAGATATATTTACCAATGATAGTTTCATCACTATCTTTACATGCGGCGACGACCAAAAACAGCGGTGACTTGGCGTGTGCTCCGGCCTCTCCCATTCAGCTGAGCCTAGGAAATACCTTCCCAGGCAGAGATGAAGAATCCGACGGAAAGTGTCAAAATCTCCGAGACTGAAAAAGTGTGTGTTGTTTTGCCATTAACATTCAGATTTTTGTTCCTTTGCCGCAGTGCCATCATTCACTGAAATTAAGATATGTTAAGAAAATCAATTGATTACTGGAAGCCGTTCATAATGTAATTACCAAGTGATTTGTGCAAACCTATAGTGTAAATAACATTCACCATGTATATAATATGCATGCACTTTTGAATCATTCCTACATACATTAGTTGGGTGTAAGCATTTACTAGTATAACATAAATGTGATTGTACAAAATATTGAAAATCAAATATCAACAATAACAATTGCCTGGAACCACCTACTCACAGTAAGCGCAGGTCATCTTGTAGATCGCGAATCCCATTAGCCTCTCCTGCTCCGTGACACACATTCTCGACCGCTGCCTCCTCCTTCTGCCGACGGGGCTGCACCTCGTACCAGACTCTAATACCAGGCCTAATTTCGCTCCTCATTCAGTGGAATAGCGAGTCGATTTTTTTTTCTGGACGACAAGGTGTGAGGTACGATTTCCTTGAGTAAAAAGGCGATTTTTTTTTAAACATTTAGGTCGTGTTTCGTAGAGTGAGTCTGTATAAGTGGAATGACCCCCTAACCTGCATAAGCGAGGTGACCAAGATTGACTAAGTTGATTACCGAGCCCATTGATTCCGCCTCGTGAGCAGTAATGGGACTTCAACTTTGTTAGTGTTTACAAGCTTGTATAAGGTCAGTAGTCACATCCCGTTTTGAAATGTTTGCTGGATAATTCTTCTCTTTCTCCCTTCTTTTCTGATGTCTGTATAAGGAAAATATGCTTGTGTAAGGTCAATAGTCGCGTCCTATTTGGAAATATCAACATGTCATCCATTTCCTCCTTTTTCTACTTTCTGATATTCAAATGAGGAATATGAACCGATTAACAACAGTTCACATGTCTTAGGTTTTTTGTAACGTCATTGCTGTGAAGGCCAGGCCAACACATCTGGTTATTTATCTCTTAAAGCCACGGAGAGTTTTTGCACTCGCATAAACACTCGGTAACCTTGTGAGGACTGGCTTCGTCACGATAATCTCTGTGATGTTGAATATGGACTTGATACTTTTCCATTTTCGGATATGGATTTACGACTTGGTTTCTTGCTATTACAATGTATTCATCCATTATTCGATTCTCTAAACTGCTTTTTCAAGTAAAGAGTATATGCAAATAAAAAGGTCAGTGGGTGCTTGACAAAATCCATTTTGCGTATCTTAACCTTGGACCAAACAAGTAATGGATGTTTTCTTCACAATAATAAGATTATCAAAACATGTCTGTGCGGATTTATATATGAATGCATGTCCGCGTGTGTGTGTATATGTGCATATATATGTGTGTGTGCATACATGTGTACATATATATATATATATATATATATATATATATATATATATATATATATATATATATATATATATATATATATGTATAAATATATAACACACACACATATATAGATAGATGAATATAGATATAGATATAGATAGATAAATATAGATATAGATATAGATATAAATAGATAGATAGATGAATATAGATATAGATATAGATAGATAGATAGATAGATAGATAGATAGATAGATAGATAGATAGATAGATAGATAGATATAGATAGATAGTTAGATAGATAGATAGATATAGATAGATAGATAGATAGATAGATAGATAGATATAGATAGATAGATAGATATAGAGAGATGGATATAGAGAGATGGATATAGATAGATATAGATAGATAGATAGATAGATAGATAGAGATAGATAGATAGATAGATAGATATAGATAGATAGATAGATAGATATATAGATAGAAATATACAGATTAATGAATATATGTATATAAATATATGTATATATATATATATATATATATATATTATATATATATATATATATATATATATATATATATATATATACATATATATATATATATATATATATATATATATATATATATATATATATATATATACATACATATATATATATATATATATATATATGTATATATATATATATATATATATATATATATATATATATATATATATATATGTATATATATATATATCATATATATGAATATGTATATAAGGTGCTGATCGTGATTATACAGTGATAAGTAAAAATATATATATATGTAATAGTAATATATAATAATTATAATGATAATAGCAAAGATGATAATGATAATGATACTAGTAAATGTAATAACGATAATGTTGATAATAATAATAATGATAATAGCAAAGATGATAATGATAATGATACTAGTAAATGTAATAACGATAATGTTGATAATAATAATAATGATAATGATAATAATAATCATCATCATCATAATAATAATCATAATAATAATCATAATAATAATCATAATAATAATCATAATAATAATCATAATAATAATCATAATGATAATCATAATAATAATCATAATGATAATCATAATGATAATCATAATGATAATCATAATAATAATCATAATAATAATCATAATAATAATCATAATAATAATCATAATAATAATCATAATAATAATCATAATAATAATCATAATAATATTGAAAAAAATAACGATAATAACATTAATGATAATAAAGATGATTATACTACTAATAATGATTATGATAATGATAATAATAGCATAGCATAGTAGTGATAATGATAATGATAATGATAAAACTAATAATAATGAAACTAAGAATTCCAAACAGATATGAATATGTGAGTCACTTTAAACTAGCAACATACCGGAGACATGTGTTGCCTTCCCTAAGCACCCAGTTACTCTATGAGAAACGAGGGTCATGCGTCAGGAGGTCACATAAAAACCATCGCAGACACTAGACGTAGAACACTAATTGATCACTCGTAATTAGCGTC